GTGGAAATGTTTACCAACTTGAACCTGATGGGCTACACCTTCTTTGTGTATAGTCTGAAAAAACACTCAGGCCCTTTTAGTTCTAAAAGAGCAAATGTCCTCTCAATTTTCTATAATGTTGAGAGTTAAAAAACAAAACAAAACAGTGATTTCATATATGGAATTATTCTTTTTATTCTTTTTTTTAACATTTTATTATTTTTAAAGTTTCAGGTGTACAATATAATGATTCAACAATTCTGTACATTACTTGGTGCTCATAACAAGTATATTCGTAATCCCCTTCATCTATTTCACCCATCCCCCACTACCTCCCCTCTGGCAACCACAAGTTTGTTCTGATCAGCTTTGTGTATACACACACACACACACATACACATTAACTCAAAAGAATGTTTTTACACCCCTAGAGAGAATCACAGTTGGAGAATTTGACACTTTCATGGTTTTATCTTTTTTATATTGAAATAAGCATTTACAGAACTTTTATACAACTAATATTGCCTGAAAGAATTTGAAGGGATCCCCTTTAGGGATTTAGTGAGAGAAAGGTAAGCATGAAATCTGGCTAAAACAAAAAATGAGAGTTTAGAGAATTTTTCATCATTTAGACAACTTAGGAACTAGAATATAGTATAAGAGAGGCTTGTTTTTGGTGGAGATCATTACAGGTAAAAAAATGAGGCTTATGGAAATGAACTGATTCTAAATCAACATAGCTGGTCTGGGACCAGACTTGGGTCTTCTGGTCTCCATCCAGCTTTTATTTATGGAAGTGGGCACATTACAGAGACTGCAGTCTCTTTGAAAGGCAAATCTGTGCTTCTCACAACTTTGTGGTATCTGTGCATGCTTTGGAACGAAAAGTTCTCAATGAAAACAGTGAGATTAAAGTCCTGAGTGTGGACTGCATTTCTTTCTTTTTTTTTTTTTTTAAGATCTTAAAAATATATTTATTTGACAGAGAGAGACAGTGAGAGAGGAAACACAAGCAGGGGGAGTGGGAGAGGGAGAAGCAGGCTTCCCGTGGAGCAGGGAGCCCGATGTGGGGCACGATCCCAGGACCCTGGGACCATGACCTGAGCCGAAGGCAGACGCTTAACGACTGAGCCACCCAGGCCTCCCTGGACTGCATTTCTTAAGGATGGCAAGACCAAATCACTCACTAGAAACCTATTTTATTCTGAAAACCCTGGAATAAGGGTGCAGTAGGTATGATATGGGAATACACTGTTTTAGTGGACTCTTATTTGAGAAAAAAGGAGACCCTCAGTCCTTGGTCCATTGAAAGTTGTGATTCCAAGGCTGAAATATGTGATGTGATATAGACACCTAACATGAAAGGAACTTTTAGAAGCTGTCAGAATCAAGATTAGTGCCAGAATATGTGTGTAGGTAGGACTTGCACAAGGACAGTATACACACAGCAGGTAGAAATCTGAAAGCATAATTTAGCATAGAATAAAGTATCCAAATACTATCTGCTTAGTAGTATGTAACTTAAATTACATACTTCATTATTACTTTATTTTTCTGTTTCATTTAGAGAGCAAAGTGCTCTCTAGTGGCCTAGAAAAACTATGTTGATTGTCTTGTATTTTATTTTAATTCATCTTGAAATAATTAGTCAAATTAGTAAACTTTTGCCTTTAAAAATGATATATTGGTCCTATTACAACTTTTTAAACTGAAAAAGGTAAATGCCCCCCTAATTAAGTCATTTCCCCAGGAAAATATAGGGAGAAAACAGTATTTCATCAATTAATGACTACACAAAAGGCTTTGAATATTGCAAGATTTATAATAGCTCTGGGGAAATGACTTTTTTAAAGATTGTATTTATTTGAGAGAGAGAGAGAGAGCATGACTAGGGGGAGGGGTAGAGGGAGAGGCACAAGCAGACTCCCCCGCTGAATGGGGAGCCCAATCCAGGGCTCTATCCCAGTACCCCAATATCATGACCTGAGCCGAAGTCAGGTGCTCCAATCTGGGGAAATGATTTGTTATCTGAAATAAGTAATTGCTGATAATTTTGATGATTTGACAGTCTAGTCATGCTTTTATGAACCAACAAAATATATCTGGAGCATAGTGTTTGAGTTGGGAAAATGCTGTTTCTTCTTGCCTATCAGGCAGTCAGGCATTTGCCAACATCTGCCTTATATAATCTAAATTTGTTGCTGCATTCTGAAGGCTGGAAATTTGGGAAGATAATTGCTTTGCTGTCCAAGAATGTCCTCTTTATTAGCTTGAGAATTAGTATGGCTTTCTTAATACTCATCCTAAATGGGGATAGTGACATTAATACCTGTATTGGGGGCTTACATGATCTTTTGGGAATTGGGGGTATCACTTATCCTGCTCGGGTGCTCCTGAGTCACCAGCTGGCTTCATCCCTTTTTTCCCCCCTATGATTCTATTTATTCCACTGCAGAAAAATCTTTCTAATTGATGGAATGATAGTGCCACAATCAGAGGCTGTTAAAATTCTTTTCCAAGGTATTTTTTGTTACTGGGAGAAGATATCTCTATTGAATAGTTAGCACACTTGAATTGGGATTTTTTTTTTTTCTTTTTGCTGAATACTGCAGAATTAAGTTGGGGTCATAAAATCAGTGGAAGATATTAGTACCACAAGATACCACCACAGAGAGGCAGTATTTTGGAGTTTTCCATGCAGCCAAAGGATTGACTTTATTTTATTTGGTTGTGGGGATAAAGCATCAGAATACAGGAAAGGATTATTATTATTATTATTGTTGTTGTTTTAGAAAGGGAGAGAGAGAGAGAGAGGGAGAGAGGGAGAAAGGGAGAGAGAGAGAGAAAGGGGGCAGAGAGAGAATCTTAAGCAGGTTCCACGCCCAGCACTTTGGGGCTTGATCTCACAACCCTGAGATCATGACCTGAGCTGAAATCAAGAGTCAGATGCTTAATGAACTGAGCCACGCAGGCACCCCAGGAAGGGATTATTTTATTCTCTCTATGATAAGCAGGGGCCCCTTCCAGAGAATGTTAAGTTTTGGATAATATTTAGAAAATGTGGATAGATTGCTTGGTGAATCGGATTATAGGTTTCTAAAACCACTGAAAAAACAAAGATTTATGTATGTGAAAAAAAAGATGAACTAGTAAACACTTGACTCTTTTACAAATTAATGGAAGCATGACTAAAACATTAAATACCATTCCTGCAAAAGTGTGTAAATAATAATGAAAATTAAAGATTAAATAATAAAGTTGAACTTAGTATTATTTTGCTTAATATTATTAACTTATTAATATTATATCTTTTG